CTTTAAATTTGAAAGTCCACATACATGAGATGTTGATGTTAAGAAGGCTATCATTGATGCTCATTATGTCAGAGCGAATGAGATGGGAAATCTGACAGGAAGTCTTTGTGCCAATATCAGTCAGAACACTGTTGATTTTGTTGGTATAAATCAAGCAGCCTTATTGTAGTGTAAGATATGTAAGTGAGCTGCAGAAGCCGAGAAGAGCCTGAAACTAACTGGAAACTACCAAACAACAAAATATCACCATGGTTTTGTAAAGTACCTCTCCCTGCAGCATGAACCAGACTGTGCTGTCTACTACAATAGGTGTCTAGCGCTTTTTTTCTTTTTCAGCAGTAACAGACACGCTGACACAGAGTGCTGCGAGTTGGTCTTCTTTTCATGCTACAATTTTGCTCAATTATATGTTTTTGTGAGAGATTGGAGCATCAAAACCCCCAATAACCATAAAGAACATTTTTCTGCTTGACGCAGCAGTTGGTGTGTGCAGTGCTAATTTAGCAAAGCATGAAAGTACTAAAAAGAAGAGTGTTTAATGAGAAAGATAAAAATTAACTGTGAGGAAGTAAAGCAGGTGGGGGAAGGCATGGATGTAATAATAAGTTAAGGGATGAAGCTGCCTTTAAACTCTGAAAAGTTAGAAGGTGGCCACATTGATCTGTTGTGTCTGTCCACATACATTAATCCTAATTCAGACAGGTCTCTGTTGAGCGAACACAGCTGATTACACATCAGTCTCTGTCAGATTTCCATCTCTTTTGACAGACAGAATCACCTCTGGACAGATTCATCGACCTCTATTATGGCCATGGAGGTGACAACTGAGACAATGCAGTTCACAACATCCCATTATTTTAAACTCATCATTGAGAGGTATCAAATGAAGACTTAACATTTTTAAATGAATAACACTGAACAGTAATTTCTTCATTGGAACATTATATGCACAAAGCCTTGACAACATGTTTGCTTCCCTTCTATAGCCAGCAAAACCACTTAACAGACAGTCGAATTCAGTCAAATTTATTCCAGGTTGGTTGCGTTGTTGGAGCTGGGGCAAACATCAATCTCTGGCCAAAACTTCTCTCAAGCCAAAACCCGTAAGTTCACACAAAAAGGAGCACCAATTGATTTGGAATCAATCACGTAGAAAAGTATAATGTTACAAACTGCACAACACATACCATCATCAGAACCAAATTCTCAGGTGGCACTCTTCCATTTTCCATCAGCCACAGTCATTATATTTAATAGTCAACTTCTGACTCCACAAAAGGATTTCATAATTTTCCCCCAGATCTTTGTCAGCACAATGTAGAGTTTAGAGACCCCAACAGCACACGCACTCTGGGGTTGTTACTGCTGCTAACACATTAGCTCAGCATGCCCACTATACTGAATTAGCATACCAGAGTGATTAACTGGTGTTAACACTTTTTCTTTTTTCGCCTGCTGATCAGAAATTGTGTCTATCAAAGAAAAAAACTGTTGAGAACCGATCGACAGTACATGGCAGAATTTCATTAGAGCTGTAACTGGATCCATTTTATGGCACGACTCATGGATTTAACCAATTTGGCCGTGTAACCATCGGTCATAATTGGCAGTTGTGTCTGCAATTGCACTGGGCGGAGTGATTTCCTCAATGACTGATTACTCTGGTGGGAAGAAACTTTCATGAGGGAATAGAGATTTCTACTCCCATTCAGACGCTAAGGGATGTTCAGCTCTGTGTCTCTTTCCATGCATTCAAATTCACAGTGTGTTTCCCTAAATGTCCATAAAACCTTTTAGTCCTCTCAGTATAGTGTGGCTACAATAACACATGCACACTAAAGTATAGGTGGTGCCCATCAACACTGGATTACTGTGATTGATTGAAGAAATAAAATACCGATCATTTATTTTACACTTCCTGAGAAAAATGGTCATTGCCAGATCGTTTCCTGGCCCTGACGCTCTGCTAAAACAACGGGAAATGGAGCGTGGAGAAAGGCCTGGCCACTGCTAATGACCGATTTGCTTTCTTCCCAACTGCATCCTCATTTCAACAGTGCTCAACAACAAACAACCCATTAGAGAGGCTCAAAATATTTAGAAATCTGTCAAATAAATCAATAATGGATTCTCCTCAGGACATCCATCACATTTTTTTTGCGAGCATTTGTGTAATGGAGAAATTCACAGTACTGTCCTGTCAGCAATGTTAGTTGAAGCTGACAGAGAACAACGTAATTTCTGTCAGATGTGTGTCATCAGGCATCTGTTTATCATTGGAAAAATAAATCCCTTGCGGGATGAATAAAGCATCTATCTATCTATCTATCTATAATAGTGGAAGATATGCTCCAATACTATACTGTTCACTGAACACTTTCATTTATCTCAACAGTAAATAAAGAATGTGATGAACAGAAGGAATAGTTACGTTTCTTCCTATCATCTTTATATGAATGTAGCATTTTACCGGTTGGACCAAGCATCTAGTTTTGAGCATTATATTTAGCAGTGTCTTCAAATGAATGGTGGTGTTTTGTAGAGAACGAGGCTAAGGGTCTACAACCGTGTTAGCAGCTCTATGAGGCTTTACTTAGGCTTTGAGCTAAATGCTAACGTCAGCTAACAAGCCGATAGTGACCAACTTTAATGTTTATCGTGTCCATCATTTTAGTTTACCATGTTAACTGTACAACTAAGGCAGGATGGGGGATGCTATTAGTTTTGCAGAAATCGGGTCATAAACAAAGAACTGAAGAGATGGTTCTAAAGGGAAAAGTCAGGGGATCACCAAAGTCAGTTGGCTTTATCCTCTGGGGAACATGAATGTCTGTACACAGTATCATGGCAATCTTTTTGATGAGAAATTTCAGTCTGTACTCTAGCAGTGGACCAACCAACCGATAATGTTATTCCTAGAGCCGTGCCACTATACCATGGCTGAAAATGTAACAAAATCTGAGGTCAGCTACAATATTGATGTAATACAGCCAGTTCATAGTGCAGCAATGTTTAGCTTTTAGATTTAGCAGTGGGTTTGTAGCTGACACGAAAAAAATTCACCTCTTTAAAAGTAAACCTCTGTGGGCTGCCATCAATATTTCATATATTAAAAAAAAAAAACCTCAATACACAACAAACTATATAATATATGCACACAAACAATCAAAAAAATCAGTATTTATGACTGTAATTCTTTGAATTAGAGGGGCAAGGTCATTCAGTTCCAGTGATGAATCGGCACCACAGGAAGACAGATTCCTCTAGAAACACTGTAGGGCCATACCATTAATAAACATTATACAGTATCATACAGTTCATTAGGACTTAGTTTTATAGGGGAATAGTCCAGTAATCTCACTTAAATCAAGAATCACAGACAAAGCGAAACACACCCAGCCAATCATAAATCAAAGCACACAAAACCAGACTACATTGTTTAAACCAGTATAATGAGCTGTATTTACAGTAGACATTGACAACATGGAAAAACTCCTACATAAGTCAGCTACAGGACTCTTTGTAATAAACCCACTAGCTTTAAATGGTTTAGCAGGAAACGGAAGAGGATATGTATCTGCACTTGTATCTAATTCAGTTGTGATCTGAGATGCAGATGGCAATACTGCAATACTGACAATACGATGGTAGGGATACATTAGCACAAATCACCCGAAACCAGACCGAGACTGAGACATGCAGCAAATAAATTTGAAATGAAAACGCTTGAGTAAATATATAAGGAGTGATGATGACTGATAGCTTTACAGTAGCACATAAACCTCATTGCTCAACGGTAATCACAGTCAGACTCACTATACCTTTTGCTCCTTATTTCTCTGCCTGAAGCCAATCAATTTTTTTAATCAAACTGGCTGAATTCAGACAAATCCCGCCACTGAACGGCAGCTTTTGACCTTTCCGCTATTCTCAGAATGTGTGCAGAAGTTGGTCCTAGTCACTGATTATGTAATTGGCTGCTGCCTTAGCAAACCAGACTCTAATTACATGCAAGATTTTGCTCTGTGATTTCACATAAATATCACCTTCTGTGTCCAAGGTTTAAAGACTTTAGAAATAGGCAAATAAATACTACTATAATTACCCTAATGTATTGAGTGCACTCATAGGAGCGTGCTACTGTTTCAAGCATTCACTACATGTATGTTAATAAAATGTAGATCATGAATATATTGACCAGGCAGTGATACATAGCTTGTTGTCTATTTTGGGAAGATGTTAACAATGTATTAATGTGTGTGTTATTTTTATCTGAAATAATTCATGTTGCACCGATGCCAAAAGTAACAGATTGCTGACAAGTTGTTTGATAGATCAACTGAGTACTGCCAAAGCTCTTCATAAAAGCATTTGGCATATTCAAGATGTCATTAAAAATGTATGTTAATCAAATAATGATAATCAATCAACAAACATTCATGCACAACATGCAAAAACAAGAGAGCATACTCTGTTTCTTTCTGTACATCACAGCTGGTGCACAAGCTTATCCCAGCATGCACTTGGGAAAAAAGCACGGAAACACTCAGGATTCTTCGTTAGGTCATCACAGGGTAAACAAGCTAACATATGCCCAATTATTTAAGTCTCCAATCAACCTGAGGTGCATGTATTTGAATGGTGGGAACCTAAAGGAAACCCAAAGAGAAAATGCTAAATTGAAACACGAGGCACAATTGAAACTCAAACTTTTCACTGTTAGGCAATACCAGTTATAACTACTGACCTGCCATGCTGCAAAAGTTAAATTATGTTAAGCAAAACAAGAAACGGAGAAATTCAGTTAGCTCAGCTTAGTTTAGTTCAAGAATAAAAATCACCCAAAATAATTCAACCAAAGTAAATAAAAAGCCATCTAACAAACAAGCAATCAATATCAACTTTGAATAATGTATAGGGGTAAAGAAGCCGGGCAGGTTGATTAGAACGCCACAAAACAATTGACTCGGTGAAAGTAAGAGGAGGAATGAAAGGCTTACACTGTGTTGCATTGTCCTCCACACAACCCTCTGGGAGCAGCAGAGAAATGAAGAAGAAAGAGATTTAATTGGACATCGGAGAAATCGGGAGACAGAGAGAGAGAGAGGATAGGAGCAAACAAATGTCTATTAGTGAAGCAAAAAGTTAATTGACAAATGGTGCTGCTGCAATATTCCATCCACCAGCCTCATCTCACTATGAGATTTAGCACCTCAAACCTTTATACACAATTGATTTCCTACTGTGAAATCTGGTTAAGAATCTGCAGCCATCAAATGTGCAAAGATCGGGACCGGCATAAAAAACAGCAGCGTTACGGTGAATTAGTCTAATGATAACAGCAGTTACTTCATTCAATGCAATCACTTCAGCTGAATATATATTATCATGTAATGCTGACAGATACATTTCAGGATTGTACCTGCTTCATAAATGTATGAATAGAAATGCAGATACAGAGTAAGATAAGTGAGGCATATTTAGGTGAGTGAAAGGTCTCAAGCAACTCAACTCATTTTTCTTAGAAGACTTTTTTTCCCATCTTTTACAAGAAGTTGGCCTGAGAGCATGTAAAGATGAATTGTTAAAGGAAACGTAACCTGTGGATTTTCTCTAAATGTGCGTTTTGCCTTTTAGTAATCTTTTCCCTTCACACATTTTTGATGTGTCTGTTATGAAGCAAACATTTTGGTTTGGTTTGTTCTCTTTTTTCTTCAAACAAGGCCTGTTTTTACACAACTATTTTAGCACACTTAACATGTTTATATCTTATGACTACAGCTAGAATTTGGAGAGTATAGACTACTTACAAAGACCGACAGAGTACATTCTGCAGCTTTTAATCTGCCTCTCTACTTCTGCACATTTTACATTTTAATCCTGTCAAACAACTTGTACGGCAGAAGATTATCAACTGTGCCTTTTATTTAAAAGAGCAATAATGTATTTAATAAATGGATTTGCCAATTGGACAGAGGATTACATAAAGAAGCATTTGTTAAATGGATTAGTCGAAGGACAAATTGGTGACATAAACAATATGGTTTAATAATATCCAATCCATGGCCTGACATGTTGTTATTACACTGAAATCTTTTTCACTGTAATTTATTCATAAAACCAATGTTGTGAAACATATGACATTTGTTAAGGGAAAAAAAATCTATCAAGGTTTTTCAAGATCCGGTGTGGTACTGTTAGAAGGATAGTGTATCGTACAGTTGAAATGTTATAATGTATGTTACTCATTATCTCCGCTTATACCACAGAAGTTCGCAGACACGGCGACAAGTGAGACGCCTGGTGTCATTTTAGATTCTGAAATCAATATAAAAGCTCATTTTAATCCATTGACCAAAACTGACTTTTATCATTTGCTCAACATAGTGAATGCGAGACCTCTTGTGCGCTAGCGAGATACAGAAAAGCTTGTTCATGCTTTTGTTTCCAGTCGTCTTGACTACCGTAACGCTTTGTATTCTGGCCAGCCATCGGCCATCGCATAACTACAGACCAGTAGAACGCTGCTGCCAGAGTTTGAACAAAAACTAAAATGAGATATCGTACACCCAATGCTACTTTTAGCCCCCCCCCCCCCCAACATAATATTAAATGAGAGACTAGTTAACTCAGTGGGGAGTTTTAAACAACAACTCCAAACATATCTTTTTTAATATAGCCAATAGCAGCTGTCTGTTTTTAATTGTTTAGAATTTCTGTTTGTAGTTTTTAGATGATAGAAACACACATTTTCTCCCTTCCTACTTGTCGATGTGTATAGTTTTTAAACCTGTTTGTTTTTGATGGTTTTGTTGCTGGATTGTTAAGGCCTTGGTGCTTCATTGTGTGCAGGCAAGGTGGTATGTAAATGACGGTCATTCATTCATTTAATTATCAGTCCACCTTTTGACACTTTCATGTAAGGCAATAATAACAATTGATGATGCAGATTGACATAGAAAAATGAAAAACATGTTTATAGCATAATTTACTCCTTTTGCAATTTAATTATGATGAGACTGAATATATGATATTTATTAGGCCCTTATGAGCACCGAGAGACATCGCAGCAACACATATTTTGTAGCAAAATGGGAAAAGATGTTTTTGTACTTGTGGGCTACAGACATCAGAGGCCTGATTGTTTGTGAGGCCTGATTTAATACCTTGTCAACTTGAGGGCCTCTGTGTTGCTGTATACTGAAGCGTGACACAGACAGCCTCCTCTTCGTTGTGTTTCAGTGGCATGGGCTGGTAAAATGGAGCTTTTTATAGCCTCAATTAATATCTTAGGATTTGTCATTATCCTGAAGTTTTGTTGCTGGATGTCAAATTAGTTTTAGCCTTCTCAAAACTGATTCTAAGAGCAGTACACATTCTGGGATAAAGCACAGTTCTCATTTTTTTGTGGTAAAGTAAATTTCCTTATTGTTCTAATGGCTCTTTTCGTGCAACAATACACACTCTGAGGAATATGTTCGAAAACAATATGTCCAGGAAGGTGGAGCAAAGCATGTGCTCTCTCTGCAAGCTCTGGCACTGAGAGTGTAAAAAACAAATATATATTTTAACTCTGAGCACAGTGGGGTGGAAAACACACAGACAGATCTACACAGATGAACATGGATTTACCATGATTGTTCTTGGAATCTTTGAGGGCCTTTGTTTTTTTCCTGGCCTTCGGACTTGAGCCCTGGTAAGTTAGCCTAAAGCTTAGTCTGCCTCCACCAAGTATATTAAAACAATTCTGAACACACTTCTGAAATTCAGTTGAGCTGCCAAAGTGTCTTACAGAGAAAGAAAGGAAGAGTGTTCAGCATCATCTTCTGGCTCCTACAATAAAACCAGCATGAACTGGCTGCTTCAGACTTAATTCATCTTCAAAGTGAGATTAGAGATTTATTTTAGAAATGTATTGGTTTTCTCATACAAATGATTTGACCTTAGATTATTTTCTACTTAACAGTTATCTTTCTCTAAGAACCTATCGTTAATTTTTTACATTTAACACTATAAATGCAAACCAAAATGGCAGTTTAAATCAAGTTATTTTATTTTTTATATTTAATCAAACTATTCTTTCATTTCTTTATACACTTTCCAATTGCAGTGTACAGTTCTGGTTATCCCGTCGGTACATACCAGTCTATCCAGGCTGGTTCCGGCTGCTGTGGTTGGCCTCTCTTCGGGGGTGTAAGGTCTGAAACGAGGACTGAACACATCTGAGATGCCGCGTGCAGACCTGCCTATTCCTGATGACTTCGGCTGGCCACACCCTTGAAAAACCTGGAATGAACAGAGGGAGATATAATTACCACAGTGAGGGGCAAGCACAAAGGGAAAAGGGAAAGAGGTTACGTGGTGTTTAGTATTTACTGTATCTTAAGGGAAATAGTCTGGATGTGCAACATTAAAACAATATTTCATCTTTATTGTGAAATGTGAGTTTCTCAATGCAGTGCTGAATAGTTAGAAACGAGGTTATCAGCAGGCCAGAGCTGCATGAACTCTACACTGAGCCAGGGCTCAGTCAATTTCTTTGTAGAATACACATCCATTTCGATTCCACCAAAGTTGTTGTTGTTGTTTGCTTGCACCATTGACATTTTTTTTCCCTCAAAAGCTTTTGCTCACAGCACAATTCCTGGTTTGTGATTTGAGATCGAAAACTGTACAGAACGTCTAGACCCAATGTTGTCTATTAGTGCCCGAGTCTGACCCCCCAAAAAGGAGGGTTTAACTCTTGATATGCTGTCACTCGAATGCAATTGAAAGCCATTGTTACAGTACAACATAGCTGCTTCAAAATACAAAATAAAAACTTCACCTGTATTTCTAGGTCCTTGGATTTTTTGGCCCAGACTGCAACATGTTAGCATAAAAATACCACAAAAATGAGCAAAAGTGATGTTGAGTGTATGAAACACTATCAGTTAGTGTTTGCTTTTAATGTGGCCAATAACATATTCTAATGTTCAATAAACCCATGCCATTCTAATCTACAGCCATGACAATTTTGGCTTTGGAAAATGTGGAATTTCTGTATTTCATTAAATATTTAGTTTTAGATCGCTGAGTGATACTCAGACAATAATTGTATATCAGAGAACACTCTTCTCTGTGACAAACACTGGATATCATAAAGAGACAGTTATTCAACTCTCCCAAAATGAAAACTGAAGTTGTGTTTAATACAAAAATAGAAATGCTGATCTATTATTAGCTGAACCTTACACTGATCAATGTGCTGATCATAGTGGTTCATTGTGAGAATAGATTGTTTTCAGACGGCTCGGTCTCCACAGGCTCTTCGGGCCCAAACAACAGGCCACCAAACCGCACAGCTCATTAGCATTCCTCTCCGGCCTGTCTGCCGGCCCCTGGCTCAGTGTGTGATGGAGCACTCTAATGTGCTGCATGGCTGTCATGACAAGAGGCTGTCTTTTCTATAACATTTATCAGTTCTTCACCATGATTACAATCCCGCTATCCTGTACAGTACATCACACAAGCAAACCGATTTTCAACAGGTCTGAGCAGCAGGAATGAAGGTACGCATGGTTAAAATGTGACTGTGGGGAAAAGGTTGTAATCTCTCGATGCAATCTGCCAGCCCATCACAACCTGTCAGGGATGGAGGGTCAAGTGAATAGACAATGGGCAAAAGTTGTAAATTGCAGCACTCTTGATATGGAAAAGAATGCGACATCTAATTCACACATGACCTTTTGTAATTCTGGCATGAAGATGGGCCAGAAAACACCAAAGGGTCTGAATGAATTGTTGAACTGAAAAACCAGCCTTTTGACAAGAAAGACAATGACAAACTATTCTGTGTGTGATCACATCTTGAATGTGCTGCTTGGAATTTGAAACTGAAAAGCAATTTCAAGTCTACCGAGAAAATCAGTTGCTTTTCTTGCATTTTAAACTGTCTCCTAATATCGATTTAAAAGACTACTTAATGACTAAAAGACAAGAGTCCCTGTCCTGCATCCCAGGTGTGGATAGGTTTAGACCCCTAAACGCACAACAAGTAAACACATCCTGTCTCAGGCTTCGACACGGTGTTGCCATAAGTGGATATTGTAAAGATACAACGAGAAACATTTTAGGATTTACGTTCAGTATAACCATTTTGTGACAAGAAAAAAAGCTTACTGTGATGTAGTATCATCTCAGAACCCTTGCTTTTGTAAATTAGTAGTATATAAAGAGGAATTTTAGGAGACAGGGTTGTGTGTTCCAAGAGCTATCCAAGGCTTCCAACCATGCTGTGTTTACATATAAACATACAGTATGACGGTATCTTCACCAACATCATGTTATTTCAGATGGATAAATAATCCTACAATAACTAGAAATAATTAGGTTGAGGTACACTCAAATAACCCACTTACCATGCTTATTATTTGCTTGGTTGAATTACCTGTTTTTTTTACCCCTTTCTTTTTCTTTTCACATTTTGCAAAGCATCATTGTACTTGTCCTGTCTATTGGTTTGTGTTATGTACATCTCTGTTTTGCACTAATTAAATAAGAAAAATTACAAAAAATGTAAAATGATTCAAGTCTAAATTAGTTTATGTATACAATGTTTTCTATGTAACGGCATGTTACTTTTGGAAGCGAAACACGTCATAGGACAGTGAACAAAGATAATTCAGAAGAGAGCACCTTGGCTGACACTTGCAAGCTGTTGTCCTGCATGGTCATGATGGCCTCAGAGATCTTGATGTCAACTGGCTCTACAACTGCTTCAATGTTGAAGGGTCCCTCCAGTCTGTCTGCCGTCAGTAACATGGCATCTGTCAAAGCACAGAGGACACATGTCAGCTCAGAGATATTAAACACTCACACACATACATTTTACTACTTTTACTACTGTTTACATGCGTCAACATGTTCACATCATCTCTGAGCATTGCGGGTAATCATGTGTCTATGACATGGCTCCAAGTAAGAGAACGAAGAATGCTCCCTTCTCCAAATGTGTTGACTGCCAATAAACACAAAAACAAAATGAACCTGCCAGTACCTTCATCTAAACAAACAAACACACATTGAGTAACAAAGAGATCTTGGGAGACACTGTTTGTAAGAGGATTTGCGACATCAAGTAGAAATTAAATTTCAATGTGATAAACTTACAAATAGCTGACACATAAAACAAATCATTGACTTGCATACATGCATCACTCCAGTTCTGATTTCTTAATCTTTTTGCATTAGTATTTCTAAATTGTGAAAGTATATCAATGAATGCATAAAATCATTACCTTTTAATTACATCTCAGACACCGAGTTATGTCAAACATGAATTCCATAAGGCACCATAAGGATGCAACACATCTAAAGGCAAGTGATGAAATCAAATACATGCAGTGTTGTGTTTGTTGTTTCCTTGTTTATTTTTCAAAACCTCACATCACATCTGATCATGTATTTTGAAAACATGAAAAAAAAATATCTCCGCTCTTAACAAACAGGTAGCAACAGTTAAAAGCAAACGAAAGAACAAACAAATAAAGGGATCATGACCTTATTGCTGTGCATAAGTCTTGGCCTGAATCAATACCTAAAACAGAGTAACCACCAACCTGTCCCCTTTAAATCTCCATTAAAACAATGTGATATTAATATGCTATATGGTTCTATGGATTGTCTCAAATTGGGAAATGTCAGCAATAAAAATAATGTGTCTGATATTTTCATTAGAGTCTATCTTGTCTCTCAAAAAGTAATTCAAAGTTCACCAAGTCTTGTTTGAGGGGTTAGCACTGGTTAAGTGGGAATGGCCGAGAACAGTGATCTCAGTAGGACTCCCATCTCTGTGCACTGACATTTGCCGGGATGCTCACCAATCAGGAAAAGCCTATTTACATCTATAGGAGCTGTTCTGTGCAAAAGGGCAGCAGAAATACCTCATCCACTGAGGTATTTCTGAGGTATTACTGAGGTAGTAGGAAAATGACATGATTAAATCAAAAGTGATCACTAGAATGTTGATGCGAAGTGATCATTGGCCTTTCTGTATAGGCTTAGTGGGCAAAGCCTGATGACTTGTAACTGAAAAAAGCAAGACTTTCCCCGTCCCTGCTGGTTGAAGAGAGGGCTCAAACCATTGGCAAAGTGACTGCATCTCCAAAACCGCCAAAAAACATTTCCTGAACTGCTTCTGTTAGAGATTGGCACTAATGTAGAGTAAAAACTGTTATTTAATGCCAGTCTAATATCTAATATATCCCTTTTTTTTCTAATTTAATTTATTATTTGTTCAAACTTGCTTTATGGTCTGTAACCGGGATCCTTTTGTTAGAATACATTCTGAATCTAAGATCTTCTTTTTATATCCAAAACTTAATTATATTCTTGTCACAAGGTGTACCTTGTTGATTACCACTGATGGGAAAAAAATAAGTTTAACAGTATTTATTAAAGCTTTACTGAAATTTAAAGAGGAGGTTGAATATATTCTACATCTTTGTTTTTGTCAATGAATTCCATGAAAAGACCGAAACTAACAGTGCATTACTCCGTCTTTATAAAGTCTGTTTTTGGCACTCAGCCACAAGCTGGTCAGTTCCGACTGAAGATGTGAATCTTTAAAATCTTAAATACACTAAATATTTAAATTGTGATCAACAGCTGGGCATCGTGGGGTCAACTCAAACTAAACAACAGTGCCCTAGTTCATCTTAATGAAGGAACATATCAGACAATGGAAGTCTATGGCACAGAAGTCATAGGTTTACATTGTTCCATCCAACACTTGATAGGCTCAATTCATCACTGCTATAGGAAATTGTTGACAATAAGAAAATATAGTAAGATGTCACCAGCAAAGTTATTTGTTGCCGTCTTGTCACTGTTGAAGTTTCATTGCTGCAGCACAGTTCAAAATGCAGTTTCTAAACATCACCAGTGAGCTGTGAGACAACGTGAGACTTTGGGAGCACTCCTTAGTACTTCAAAAAAATCAGGGCAAGTATTCCTCGTACATAAACAACAAAGCAGGTCATTTGTCAGTGCCTTTCATTACTGTAATGCTCAGGAGTGTTTTATAATCTGCCACCCTGTGGTTCAGCTAGGATTATGTTACGAGTGACTGTTGGTGGGAGATGGAACATGAATACCCATTTCAAGTGTCAAAGCTGCACACTTTGTACTGCTGTGACTGTTTGACTTTGACTTAAGTCTGTTTAACATTGTGTATTGTAGCCTGGTGTGTAAACATCTCAGGAGCCTTGTGAAATTGACACATAAGATCATTGGAGTAAGTCAGGTATTGCTCTCACAATTACAGAGTAAGAGGCCAGCACCGAAGGAAGCCAAAACCTTTCAAGACTGTCCTGACCAGCCTTCGCAGAATGAGTTTGAGCTGCTGCCCTCAGGCCAGCATTTCAGAGTGCCTGTCATGAGACCTAAGGAACATAAAGTCTGCCTCCTCTCAGTGGCTATTGACAGGGCAGCATATTAAGCTCGCCCGCTTGACTGAGCGGAGTGATTTAGAGGACAGGTTGAGTACAGAGGAGAGAGCACTAGCCCGTTTAAGGAGAGGTGAATTAAAAGCATAAAGATTAATACTCAAACCTGGTATTGCCAATTAACATTGAATTAAGTTGTAATAATATCCAGGGGCCCTGTTTCACCCTAGCAGAATTGTGCAACCATTCACTGCAACCCAACCTCATCAAAAAGAGGCATGTACAGTATTTCTAAACACAGGTACATGAAGTGAAAATGAGTGGAAAGTTGACAGCAGAATTGGCTAAAATCTGGTGGACAGACCATTGGCCTATGACCAGCTGATTGGATTTTGGTGGTGATTTTGAATCTGGATTAGACCAGATCAAACGACGCATGCGTTTCAGACGGAACTATTGTTGATGGTTGGAAATCTGGGCGTTAACATTCATTAACAATAACATGCTATTTTTTCAGGGGTTCAAACCCAGAAGACCGTTAATGATAAACAAACAACTGAAAAATGTTATACATCATGAGACAACAGAGCACAAAAGTCACCAACTAATTATTTTCTGCAGTCACTATAGACTCCTTAAGATATCAAATAGTATGGCCTACTACTTTTGGTATATATGCATTGCAGCATTAGTGAATACATGTATGTTTTAACTTTGATTTAGCATTGTTTTGTTTAGGTTCAACGTTTTTTTATTTTTATTTTACAGTCTTTTTCTGATCTAATGCTGCGTGTGTTTGTTTTATCCACACTCTTCCATCTGTACACTGCGATAATTTGGAGAAATCCAAGGTTGGCAGAGCCTAATGATAACTAGAATTTGAGACAAGACAGCAGTTCTTTGGGATCGCCACAGTGAAATGTAGTGAAGCTAAATAATTCAGAGACAGCTGGCCGACTCAATTCATGACCAACGCTACAATACTATATCATATCTCCTACAGATTTTGACCAAAACTGGAGGAATGATGCATCTGAGCATTGCGATTCAAAATTGCAGCTATTGGCCATATTATGCTGTTTAAACGAATGGATGAAATTTCATTCCTCATTGCTATAACTGCAACATCAATCTAATTTTGATAGAAAATATCATGCATCCTGTTACTGATTAGACAAAGACAGGAGTGTATCACCTATGAGGTAAAAAGTGTCCTTGTTTATTATATCATACGAGTTATGATACGAGGACATGTTAAACCTCGCAAATCACGCATTCCTAAACCCACCCCAAATCCTGCCAATAATCCAACTTCTTGAACAAAAATAATTGATTATATTTTATTGTTCTAAAACTTTTTTTTAGGTTGCGCATGTTGTAATCCAGGCCTGTGCAGCATTTTACAGCCTACTAGTGAGCAGAGCTACAGACAGACCCCACTCCTCTGTCTGTTAGTAGCTGTACCTTTGAAGAGCACTCCTGTTTGTTTACTCTGGAGTCTCAAATTGGGCGTGATGCTTGGTTAGATTTCTATCAGGATCTGGCTGGAGGTCACTGCGTGGGGCCAACCCGAGTCCTGTGAAGTCTTCAGCTGCCTATGTTTAGCAGAGTACTGCTCTAATGCTACCGCAGATAAAGCCTCAGTGGAACACAGTGAGAGTAGAGGAGAAATTGGCAGCGAATCTGTAACTCATTCTATAAAAGACTCAAAGAGCTAAATTATATCCTCAGCTGAGTTCTGACAACCTATTTTTCATATAGCTTAATGAATATTTGATGGATTGTGAGAATAAGTCAGTCATATGAATTGCAAGAGGAATTGTTACTTCTACAGGCTTAAGTAACTTCTGAAATTATGTCACATACGGGAAACAATCCGTTACCCTTTGTCGGGATTTCATTTGTGGAAATCATTTTAAGATTTCCAAATCTCTGTGACAACAATTGTTTATTTTATAACAGGAGTATATCAAAGACACAAGAGTAAATCGTTTTGAAATAAAAACAGGCGAGAAGATATATTATGTTTGTAATTCTGTTATTGTTCATTGACACTTTCATGTAGAAAAATGATGGGATTGAAGGTGAAGGTTAAATCCAAAGAGTTACCTTTCAGAAGAGATTATGATTTTATTTAAACGTGTTTAAGTAACTACTTTACTTTGTTATTTTCAGGCTTGCACACAATGAAAGTGGTGCTTGCTGTTTTAAAACCTTCTTTTCTTTATAAATGGTTCCTTAAATGCTTTTCTCTTTTCCCCTTTATCTGATATTGCACTTGACTGATATACATCGTATGGCATCAGTTTCCTGTAATGATTCAATAAGTCTTTTGCCTTTGATATTAACAGATACACAATCGATTTGCAGCACCATTCATC